CTCCAGAAACAAACAATAAACGTTTAGAAGAAAAAAATTATGACCTTAGGATAGAAAAAGATTTCTCAAGCAAGGTATAAAAAGCACAAATACCAAAGAAAAAAAGTAAATTTGACTATATCACTGTGAATGCCCTCCAGCCAAAGACCAGTGGAGACAATTATTTTGGAACAAGTTGGATTTATGCTCATCATAACACAGAAAAACAGAGGCAGTGGGGAGCTGGGGGGTGTCTAGATAAAGGGGTGTTAGAGAGGCTTATAGAACTGGTGTCTGTGTTTGGTGGGGTCACCCCACATTTGGGCACCACTTTTGGGGTTGTGACCTGTGGGAGTCTGTCTTGCATCCATCCTGACTCGATGGATGAATGAGGTATACTGACACACAGATATTATGCTTTGCAGTTCAACTGAGTGTCCGTGGCTGCTTACAGGCGCCCTGGAGAGTGCTGTAAACAATTACAACCACCAGCCCCCACCAGCCAGAGAGACTTGCATTTATTTAGTAAAGTTTAATCCACAAAGGCTTGAATCAACACCACTAGAGTGAAGAGATTAAAGGACAGTTTCTGACGCCCAAAGCAAACAGCTTTCGTGGGTAACCCTGGTCAGCCTTTCCCTGAGAGGGCCATCTGGCTCAAAGTGGAGCTTAAAGATCACACGAGTAAACAAGCTAGCTAGGTAAACTCTCCAATTCCTTTGTCTTCGCACCCTGATCTTTCTGGCTCCTGCAAAGAGACTTTGGCTGCCTTCAGCCAAGAACTTTAGAAAACACCCTTAGTCCTTCCAAAAGGGATTGAGACTATATTCTATAACTTTCTCTAATATTTTCCCCTTAATATTTTTGCCACCACCCTGAGTGAGTTCCCACATTTTCCCCTTTTCTGTTTTTAACATCAGGTTCTGTTGACTGAAGAGATGTCACAGAAACCGGTCTGTTAGGTGAGGCGGTCACTGCTTTTATTTTGGCTTTGCATCCTAGAACTGGCAAATAACATAGAACATTATGAGTATGATTAGCAACAGTCAAAGAGCTCCCTCCAGGAGCGGGGGTTTACCCAGGAGAGAGGATTTTGCAACCTTTCCATATGGCTGTTTGTCGGGGATGCAGATCAATAGTGTGAAGGGATTCTGAAATTTTAGTTTTAAGTTGCTTCACGTCTGCTGTTAAATTGTCATGAAAGGTTCCCCAGAGGTGGCGTTTCACCTCATGCCAACCGTGTATTGATCCATCCCATGGTAGAGAAGTGACACAGATACGTTTCTGTCCCCAGCCGCAGCTGCATTGCTGTGGTAATGCCAGGGCGTCCTGTCACTCCCCCACATATTCCACAGCAGCCCTCGAGGACTTGCAGACGTGCAATAATTTTTAAATCTATACCTTGTTGTAGGACAAATTCATTAGACACACTTTTGGTCAGATTATCTCCAAAAGCAGCTGTTTGTACTGACTCAGTAATAGATGCCACCACAACACTGGCAGTTGCCAGGATGACCATGACCGAGACTCTAAAGGCCATGAGCGTAACTACTAATCTTTTGTGTCTGACCTGGGGCAGGGCACGTTCTAAGGTGGCAAAGGCAGAGTCACCTTGCCAATCATGTGCCACGTTGACTGGTAGCAATGCCTCAGATAGTCTCCTTAATACTGTGACATTAGTAATTTCTTTTTTGAGATGGAGTCTAGCTCTGTTGCCCAGGCCGGAGTGCAATGGTGTGACCTCGGCTCACTACAACCTCCATCTCCAGTGTTCAAGTGATTCTCCTGACTCAGCCTCCCGAGTAGCTGGGATTACAGGCATGCACCACCATGCCCAGCTAATTTTGCATTTTTAGTAGAGATAGAGTTTCTCCATGTTGGTCAGGCTGGTCTCGAACTCCTGACCTCAGGTGATCCACCAGCCTCGGCCTCCCAAAGTGCTAGGATTGCAGGCATGAACCACCGTGCCCAGACACATCAGTAATTTTTAAATTAGATACGTGTGATTAGTGACGCATGAGGCAAACCAAGCCTATCTCTATCTTTTGGGGTTTAATGGAACTGCTAGTTCCCACAAGGAAAGCATACGGATGGGTAGTGCAAATCAGGCACTGATCATTGTGATAATGAAGAAAGGTCATAGCGAGGTTGTGACTGGAATTATCATATGTCCCCAGCCAGGTGTTAAGGGAGGTGCTGAGATGTCCCAGGCGCCAGAAGGTGCCTTGGGTGGCATGGATTTTACTCGGGGTTTGGGATATCCCATCCCCCCACTGGCCCAAATTATAGGGTAACGAGATGTGGCTGTGAAGCTGTGACTGATGCTGTGGTGGGTGGAAATGTCAGGAAGGCCGCCCTGCCGTCGGCCGTGGGGGCTCCAGTCTGAGATGTTACAATCGCCTAACTGGAGGCCACAGACCTCCCAGCTAAGGTGAAATCCATTACTTTTCTGGCTCTGTTCTTCCTCGCGGGAAGGAATGTTTGGGAAAGGGGCACTGATTACATTGCCCAGTTTGAGTCTGCCTGCAGCCAACAATGTCACGGCATTTTATTCGCCACGATGGAGCCGTACTTGTCTTTGGGCAGGTACACGGCAAGGGTTAGAACCTTCGTAACTTACACACAGTGGGAGGAGAGTGGAGTGACATGCGGCATTAGCTGGCACCTTGGTCCAATGTGTGCCATTATTGAGGGAACCCACTGGGGATAAATCCTTCCTAGCCAAGCAATTGCATTGTTAGAAGCTGGGAAAAGGGGTGTTTGTCTAAGTAACAGGGCAGAAAAAAAAGGCAGATTTAGAAGATGGGCCTGATAGAGTGCAGCAGGCACAGGTTGCAGGGAGAGTGAGAGAAGACAAAGGCACAAATTATGTGGAATGAATGACGGCTGTGTCTGGAGTCGGATGGGTTCAGCCTCCTGAGTTGTCCTAAGCATTCCCCAGGTGATTTCCGGGCTTGCGCGGTGCTCTAGGGTCCTTCCTAGGCTGGCTCCAGTTTTTCCTTCTTTCCATCCTTTGATGAGGGTGTGGTCTCCAGGCTGGTGCTGATGTGCTGGAAATTCTAGGGGTGGTGCCTGTGCTAAGACACCTTTCATTCTTTGTTAAAAGGTAGGTTAGCGCTTTAAGAAAAACCTGTTGTGGTTTATTTTAATGTCTAGTTTCCAGAAAAACTGGATGATACGTCTTTAACCTTAGCCAATATATTTACACACAGAATTTCTTTTACAGTTAACGTTTTAAAACTTGCCTAGATCTTCCAAACAAAAATTATACAACCTTTCTTGCATAAATTCCTTCCTATAAAGTCACTTCTCATGACTTTCACAATCTCTGACATGCCTTAACTTTCTGTCTTTTTCTTCTTCTTTCTTGACTTCTGCTTCTCTTTTTGCCCCCCTGCCTCTTTCCGTCTCTCTCTTTCCCCTTCTTTCTTCTCTTCACACCATCTCTTTCCTCGGACTCACTTTCTGTGTCTGTCTCTGACCTCCATCTCTTCTAGCCTCTCCCTGCATTTCTCTCTCCAATCTTTCTGTCTCTGTCTGGAGAGGTTTTAGCAAAGTTCTTTTCTACAGCTGATTGAAATTTGTCATCTAAATTTAGAAAAGTCAGAGTAAATGAGGCTTCCGCCAGCCGTGTTGCCTGTAAAGCAATAAAACAGCTTTCGCACCTTCTCAGTCAATAGGAAATCCTTTCCTGCTGAGGAACAAAGCTGTGTGGCTGACTTTTAATGGCTCCTTAACTAATTCATGGGCTAGCTACACTTTCTGTCCTTTCAGAGGCCATAGTTCTACCTAGATAGGATTTTAGGATAGCTACATCAAGGGTCGGATTGGAATAACAACAGTGGGCACCATCAGAAAAGGGGCTTTTAAATTCTTAAATTTTACTTAAATCTTAGCAGAGCTTGTGAAGAAGGAACATAGAAGTCTTGCTGTGGGCCACCCACGGAGCTAGCGAGGGGCGTGAAGTCCTGGGAGGAGGCTCTATGAGGCTCTTCACTTGTGCAGCCCCCTCTCCACCCCCACCCACCTCCGAGTGGCTGGTGCCTGCTGCGTGGATTTTTCTGTGCTCACCTCCTGCCTCTCCCCAGCAGGCTAACTCCGGTGCGCTAAGCCTGGCTCTCTATTGCCATTGGCCCTAGGCAGGCTGAGTTCCCAGAAGCATTTGCTGAATCCAGGCTTGTGTCCTTTCCCGCTGCTAGCTCGGCTGCTAATGCTCTTCCTTATCTTTTTATGTACCCGATCGTCTTGTCGATCCTGTACTACTGGCAGGCTAAGGGCTCCCCTTCTATTGCTGCTCACTTATCTACTGGGGTGGGAGGCTCAGGCGCAACCTCCATTTTCTGTTTGTTATTTTGGCTCAGTGGTAACATTACTGGTGTGATATAGCTGCCTAGAGTTAGAACCTGTACACTGCCATTTTATAAAGGACAAAGCTGTCTCCATTCTCCTCACAATGGCTGCTAACCTTGGCTTCTGTAAACTGCTAATTTACCTTGCAAAATGCAAAGTGAGGTAAAGCTGCATACCTTCTCTTATCTGTAACTGCCAGAATTGCTGGCCTTTGTTTACAGAGTAAGCACCCCCAGATAATTCCATCCTGGCGCCAAGTAAATAAAAATCTATGGATCCCACCCCTACCCAGACGACGTGTAAACGAATGCTAATCTCAGCATCTGTGAACCCCTTAAATGACAATCAGAATGTCAAATAGTCCCCTGGCCCTCGAAATGTCCGGAATGCCCTCACCCTCATCTCCACCCAGAAGGTGATTTGAATCCACTGGCCCTCGGAATGTCTGAAGCCCCTCACCCCATCCTTTCCCCCCACCCCCAAGGTGATTTTATGGGTATAAAAAGGTCTTGTCACCCTTCTTTCTCTGCCACGGGTTGGAGAGACGTGAATCTTCCATGGTCGCCGGCAATAAACCCTGCAATTTGGCATACTTTTGTCTTGGTGTTGACTTTCTGTGCTCGGTCCGATACAACATTTTGGAGGTTCCACTGAGATCTTTTATTTTTCAGCACCAGACAAAAGCCATCTGAGTCTCGCCTGGGTGGCCTCTCCTACCTCAGAAGCCTCTAGGGGAGGAGCCTCCTGAGCTGTCTCAGGGCCTCGGAGTGCCACTGTGAAGGGGCGCCCACCCGGCCGACGTTCACCCAAAATTCTTCAGGGTCCTAAAAGCCTCTGGAGGTGAGTTTGGTTTGGAATCTGGGAACTAGTTCAAGGGAAAGGGCCTGTGTTGGGGGACTGAGTCACTGCAACTCTGACCTGGCAAGCCTCACTGAGATGTTGCTTGAGGCTTCTGATGGCTGTCATAGTGGGTGGCAGCCTTCTGGTAGCTGGTATAGTGGGTATCAGCGTAGGGTAGCTGGCATAGTGGGTGTCAGCATTCGATTGTTTTCCTTGGCCTCTGTGTGAGTGAGAGAGTGTGTGTGTATATGTTTGTAGTCCCACGGGACTACAAACTTCCACAACGGGACTTGAGTGGACCTCCACCCGCGGTTCCACGGGATCGTCATAAGGCATAACAGTGATTCACCTCAGAGCTGTCCTACTCGGACTTCCATCCTGAGGTGACCAGGCCTGGGGGTTATACGGGTACACCTTAGCCAAGACGCACCTGAAAGACCCCTCCGGGGGCGTGGCCAGGCAGGCAACTGAGTGGTCTCCTCTGGGAGGCTCCCATCCCTTTTTCGTCACTCTTTTATGTAGTCCTGTCTCGTGTGTAAATTTGTCAGTTTTATTAGACTCCTGCTAGCAGGCATACACTGGATGCAGGGAACTTATATTGATTATACCCCTGCAGAGATTACTCTCTTCTCCTTCTTTCTCATCTTTTTCTTCTATCACTGAGGCCTCATTCTTTCTTCTTCCGCCATGGGGCAGATAGTCTTAACTTTAGTTGTTTTTATTTTCTTCCTTGTTATGATTATTGTGGCCTGTAAATTCTCCCAGCCACCTCCACTGGGAAAAGAGTATTTTTGCCTGTGCTGGGTCTGAGTCCATGTCAGGAAGGCAGTTGTGCCCTCGGCACCTCGAAAGTAGTTTTTTTGGGGGTTGTAGGAAACAAAGTCCCAAATCAGGGTCTACGAGAGCTGTTTGTCAGGCTTAAATGGAAAACTGGTGACTGCCTATTCTGTCAGAAAAGTGTCCAATGTTGTTATGGGCAGTGCCCAGTGGTGTATCACAGGGAGGTCCTACTAAAACCTGCTTTAGAGAGGGCAAAATTTGAATTGGAGGCTTTCCAAAATTGGCTATACCACCACAGAAAGAGATAGACACAGGTAGTAAGCAAAAGTCCCGAGAGAGGAGAGGGGAAATAGGGAGAGAGAGAGGAGACAGAGAAGAGAGTGGAGAAAAAGGGAGACAGGAATTAAATGCTTTTCAGGGTCCCTGTGTAAAGGTGACAAAAAGCTGCAGGGGCGGGGAACTCACAGCCAGCCCAGCGGCTTGGAGCTCAGTTTTAAACTGACACAAAAAGCGGTTTTTTCCTCTCTGCCGGCCGCCAGCTCCACCTGGCTTTCAGGCAGACCACACTGCCTCAGGGTGCAGAATTTGCATCTAAAATCTGGCTTTAAGAACAGCTTTCTAACTCTTTGTAGTGCAAGTTACTTGTTAGCACAGCAATTAAGGTGGGGGGGGCTACAACTGCGAGGTTAGTGGTTCAAATCCTCAGTGAAGCCAGTCTTTTGGGAGAAAATTCAAAGATTGAAGAAAACGACCAAATGGGCTCATCACAGTCCTGTCCATGCACCCCCCTCCGATGCATGACAGAAAACTTTAAATAGGGTTCTCTGGCCAGTATGGGGTTAAACTAACCCCACAGAGGCTTTGGACCCTCTGTGAGTTGGAGTGGCCAGCCTTTGGGGTAGGCTGGCCAGATACCGGACATACTACCCCAAGATAACCCAGGCTGTCTGGAACATTGTGTCAGGGTCCCCAGGCCACCCTGATCAATTTCCATACATCGATCAATGGCTGAGGCTGAACCAGCACCCCCCTCCTTGGCTTGAAAAATGTATAAAGCGTGCTGGACTTCAGGTTATGCTAGCAGGCCCAAAGAAGGGCCCCTCAGCGCCAGCTGTTCTTCCAGGCCCTGCCGAGGACCAAGAGTTGCCTCCACCGTATTTTCAACCCAGTACTAATGATCAGCCCTTATCTGAAGCAGGGCCCCACACCCACCAGCGGTCCTTCCTCTCCAAGAGGCTCCCCCAACAGGAGAAAACAATTGGGGTCGCCCATTCTTTGTTCACTTCTTGTCAAGTGACTTATATAACTGGAAGGTGATAGAAATTAAGGGGGGGGCAAAAACACCAAGTGCTGGCACAAGCTTTATTGAGAGCAAGGAAAAATCTGCTGGGCTGCACCCAACATTGACACGCAGCACCTGTGGCATGGCAAAGAGATCTCTATGGCCTGCAAGCTGGCAGATGCCTCCAGCGTGAGGGGCTGTGCAGGAGGGGAGGGGCTGGGGAAGTGCTAAGTTTGATAGTTCCTGGGAGGGCTGGGGAACTGCTAATATGACGAGAGAGGGAGGGTTAGAAACCTGCTGAGATGGAAAGTTCCCCGGGAAGGGGTCGTGCTGGGAGGCTGAGGATCGTAAGGTGGTAGTGAGGTTTTGTAAGTTCTGTCAGAAAGCTCAACATCCCCTGTTCTCTGAGAAGCCCCAGGCTTTGACAGGGCTCTTAAAATCTGTACTGCAGACTCATCGCCCCACGTAGAGTAACTGCCAACAATTATTACTGAGTCTGTTCACCACAGAGGAGAGGAGTAGAATTAGACAAGAAGCCCATAAAGCAATACTTGGGACAGGGGAAGGCCAGTACAAGACCGCCAGGAACAAATTAATGAACTTTTCCCTTCCACCAGGCCCCAGTGGGACCCAAGCACCCCAGCGGGCACGCAGGCTTTGAACAATTTTCACCGGTACTTGTTAGAGGGGGTTAGAGGGGCAGCCTGAAAACCCACCAACCTCTCCAAGGTAGGGACCGTGACCCAGGGTCCACAGGAGCCTCCAGCTGCTTTCCTTGAGCGCCTGCAGGACGCCTACCGCACCTACACCCCTATTGACCCTGAGGCCCCGGAGAATCAGCGGGCCATAAATCTGGCTTTTGTTTCCCAGTCTGCCTCAAACACCAAAAGCAAGTTGCAAAATTAGAAGGGTTCCAAGGAATAAATTTAGCTCAGTTGTTAGAGATTACCCAAAAAGGCCGGGCGCGGTGGCTCACGCCTGTAATCCCAGCACTTTGGGAGGCCGAGGCGGGTGGATCACAAGGTCAAGATATCGAGACCATCCTGGTCAACATGGTGAAACCCCGTCTCTACTAAAGATACAAAAAATTAGCTGGGCATGGTGGCGCGTGCCTGTAATCCCAGCTACTCAGGAGGCTGAGGCAGGAGAATTGCCTGAACCCAGGAGGCGGAGGTTGCGGTGAGCCGAGATCGCACCATTGCACTCCAGCCTGGGTAACAAGAGCGAAACTCCGTCTCAAAAAAAAAAAAAAAAAAAGAGATTACCCAAAAAGTTTTTAACAATAGGGACACCTTAGAGGCCAAGCAAGATAAGGGAGTCACTAAGGCAGTGATAACAGCACCCCAGGAAACCCGAGTTAACTCACAGGGACCAGAAATCCAGCAGAGAGGCTGCCACAAGGTTTTAAGAATTCCCCACTTTGTTTGATGAGACACTGAGCCAAGACCTTGCTGATTTCCGAGCTGAGTTCCCAGAATGCACCCTGCTCCAATATGTGGATAACTTACTCTTGGCCACAAAAACCCAGGAGGACTGTAAAGAAACCACCCAGTCATTACTAAGGACCCTACAGACTTCAGGGTACCGGGTCTCAGCTAAAAAGGCCCAACTCTGCCAGCCGAGAGTTACTTACCGGGACTGTATTATAGACAAAGGCAAGTGGGCACTGGCACCCAGCCGAATCCAAGCAGTGCTGCGAATACCCACCCCCACCACGAAACGCCAAGTTCGAGAATTCCTTGGGGCAGTAGGGTACTGCAGGCTATGGATTTTGGGATTTGCTGAGATAGCCAAGCCCCTGTATGCCTGCACTGGAGGAAATCAGCCCTTGACATGGACAGAGGTAGAGCAACGGGCTTTTGACAAGCTCAAGACTGCCCTGACTGCGGCCCCAGCCTTAGCTTGCCAGACATCTCTAAACCTTTCCAGTTGTTTGTGCATGAAAAACAGAGAGTTGCTAAGGAGGTGCTCACCCAAACGCTGGGACCCTGGTCCCGGCCAGTCACCTATCTTTCAAAAGGACTTGATCCCGTAGCCTCTAGGTGGCCAGCTTGTCTGAGTGCGGTGGCGGCCACAGCCCTATTAGTCAAGGAGGTGGACAAGCTGACTTTGGGGCAGGAGTTAAGCTTAGTAGCTCCCAACACGGTGGCGTCAATACTCCATGGAGCCCCCGGAAAATGGATGTCAAACGCCCGCATAGTTCAATATCAGGCCTTACTTTTGGACTGGCCCCACACTGCTACCTGACAGCGGGCCAGAGGAGCCAATTCATGACTGCCAACAGACAATAGATGTCCCCCACTCTGCGCGACCGGATCTCACCGACGTCTCCCTGCAGAACCCAGAAGAGGTGTTGTATACAGATGGAAGCAGCTTCAGGGTCAACGGAGTCAGGTATGCCGGGGCAGCTGTGGTCACCCTAGAGCGGGTTATCTGGGCCCAGGCTCTCCCACACGGGACCTCAGCCCAGAAGGCAGAACTCAGCTCTGATAAAGGCCTTGGACTGGGCAGAGGGAAAAACTGTCAATATCTACACGGATAGTCAATGTGCCTTTACTACGGCCCATGTACATGCAGCCATTTATAAAGAAAGAGGGCTGCTTACCTCAGAGGGAAGGATCATCAAAAACAAAGAGGAAACCCTAGCCCTGCTAGAAGCTCTATGGAAGCCCAAGGCAGTGGCATTAATACACTGCAAAGGACACCAGGAGGGAGATTCACCAGAGGCAAGGGGATAGAGGGCAGCGGACCTGCAAGCCGGACAGGCAGCCTTGGGGCCGATAAAACCTCTGCCTCTTCTTGTGACTCTGCCGGCCCCAACCCTGCCTCCTACCCCAATGTACTCGCCTGAGGAAGAAAACTTTGCTAAAGAACAGGGGGGATGACAAGATTCCACAGAATGGTGGATTCTACTGGACATAAGGATTGTGCTCCCCGAGGCTCTAGGGAAGGCTCTAGTTAAGGACACACCAGGCCATTCACTTAGGACAAACAAAGCTCACTGAGCTGTCGAGGGCCACATACTACATTCCACATTTACATAAGATTGTTAGGGAAACTACTATTCATTGTAATGTAAGCGACAGGGTAAATCCAGGAGGCAGTAGGCCTAGTCAGGCAGGGACAAGGCTTAGGGGGACTAGCCCAGGGGACACTAGGAGGTAGATTTTACTAAAATAAAGCCCCCTCCTTGTGTTTGTGGACACTTTCTCTGGATGGGTCGAGGCTTTTCCTACTAGGTCAGAGACCGCACTGGTAGTAACAAAGAGATTGCTACAGGGCCTGGTTCCTGGGTTCGGCTTGCCCCCGACACTGGGATCAGATAATGGCCCTGCCTTTACGGCACAGGTTTCTCAGGGCCTAGCCAAGGCCCTGGGCATATCCTGGAAGCTACATTGTGCCTATCGCCCCCAGAGTTCTGGGCAGGTTGAAAGGATGAACCGGACCACAAAGGAAACATTAACAAAATTTATCCTAGAGACCGGTGAACACTGAGTCAACCTGCTTCCTTTTGTTCTCCTCTGTACCCGATGTACTCCCTATAAGAAAGGCTTTACTCCTTTTGAAATTATGTTTGGGAGGCCCCCTCCCTTGCTTCCCAGACCCACGGATACCGTGTATGCTGAAATCCATAACCACACACTCCTTAAGTCCTTGCAGGCACTCCAGTCTGTTCAGTCCCAGGTGCGCTCGCTCATCAGGGGAACTCGACCTACCCCAGGAGGCCTCACTGGCCAGCCGGTAAACCCCTTCCAGCTGGGGACGAAGTCCTGATAAAGAGATTCACTGCCTCTGGTCTGACTCCTCGCTGGAAGGGACCCTACACCATGATTCTGGTCACCACCACGGCAGTCAAAGTGGACGGACTAACTGCCTGGATTCACCATTCACACGTCAAGACTACCCCCCCCATGCGAGATAAGAAATGGTTTCATCCTCAACGGACCCCCTAAAGCTAAGACTTTCGCGCCATCATCCTAATCTCTTTGATTTCTGTAACCACCCCCTAAAAGGGACCCCCCTTAATGCCCACTTATTATCAATGGATCATCATGGAGGGCTCAACGGGACAATTTGTTAGTACTGTACTTGGGGCTGGAACCACCCTTGTCAACTTAACCCTAGAGTACATTCCCAGAGATCCCATAACCTTCTCCCTAGACCTCTGCACTCTCTTAAGTGAGAGCCTAGATGCAAATACTATAGGACAAATGAAGACAAAAAGATGGGGCGGGGAAATGAGGTGAAAGCAAAGGAGATGGGGTGGGGGAACGTAGTGGCCGAAAAACGGCTTCAGACAGTAGGGCTATATCTATGCCCAGGGTCCACACCAGATAAGAGGTGAAATTCTCATAGCACCAAATACAGACAGACACTGGAAACGGGTCCCCATAATTATACCCCTATTAGTAGGACTTGGAATAGCAGGATCCGCCGCTATAGGACTATCTGCCTTAGTCACTGGGGACCAAAATTTCCAAACTCTTTCACACCAAATAGATGCAGATATTACCCATCTGGAAAATTCCATCACCAAATTAGCTGAACAAGTAGACTCCTTGGCTGAAATGGTATTATACAATAGAAGGGAGTTAGACCTGTTGTTCTTGAAGGAAGGAAGACTGTGCACAACTCTCAGTGAGCAATGTTGCTTCTATGCAAATAATTCTGGAATTATCTGAGACAGCCTTGTGATAGTTAGGCAGAACTTAGAAACAAGAAAACCCTTCAGAGAGGCCTCGGGAAATTAGTACCAAAAACTGTTCTCTTGATCCCCCTGGCTGACATCCGTGCTCACTGGATTAGCAGGACCCTTGGTGTTAGTGGTCCTAGGGTTAACATTTAGACCATGACTTTTAAACATGCTCTGCAAATTTATCCAGGAAAGAATAGATTTGGTAAAACTAATAGTTCTAAGATCCAACTACAGGCTCCTGTGTGAAGAAGAAGACACCTATTAAAGATTTAATACATGTTATAAGAACAGGGAGGAGTGTGATATAGCTGGCCTAGAGTTAGAACCTGTACAATGCCATTTTATAAAGGACAAAGCTGTTTCCATTCTCCTCACAATGACTGCTAACCTTGGCTTCTGTAAACTGCTAATTTACCTTGCAAAATGCAAAGAGAGGTAAAGCTGCATACCTCCTCTTATCTGGAACTACCAGAATTGCTGGCCTTTGTTTACAGAGTAAGCACCCCCAGATAATTCCATCCTGGCGCCAAGTAAATAAAAATCTATGGATCCCACCCCTACCCAGACGACGTGTAAACGAATGCTAATCTCAGCATCTGTGAACCCCTTAAATGACAATCAGAATGTCAAATAGTCCCCTGGCCCTCGAAATGTCCGAAATGCCCTCACCCTCATCTCCGCCCAGAAGGTGATTTGAATCCACTGGCCCTCGGAATGTCTGAAACCCCTCACCCCATCCTCTCCCCTCACCCCCAAGGTGATTTTATGGGTATAAAAAGGTCTTGTCACCCTTCTTTCTCTGCCACGGGTTGGAGAGACGTGAGTCCTCCATGGTCGCTGGCAATAAACCCTGCAATTTGGCATACTTTTGTCTTGGTGTTGACTTTCTGTGCTCGGTCTGATACAACACTGGGACCCACGCCCTTGTGCCTGATGCTGTTTAAGATTTCTCCCCACTTGTTCCCAGAGCTTTACCTCTAGTGTACTTTCTGCTGGAGACCATGGCTTTGGGAAACAACAGTTTGCATTGGGTCCCTTAATTGAGCCTGTGAAACTGATGCTCCACTGGCTTTAAGCAACTGTTTTAATATTTTCATGTCCTCTTTCTGTTGAGCTGATAACTGTTGTCCCATGATGAAACCTCAGCCTGAACAATTCCTCCCGAACTTGGTCATCCCCAGCGGGTGCCAATGATTTACTGGCTCACTGTTATATTGACTTGACTGCATGGTCTTCTGAACCATTGTTTTCAGGGGGTCTGTCACTTTCTCTGCATTGACGTTCACGTCAGGGTCCTCTTCACCTGCCGATGTTCCTCACACGGGGTACACTGGGGGGTTGCCCCACGTTTAGGTGCCACTGTCAGGATTACCACCTGCGGGTGTCTGTCCTACAAACCCTGACTTGATGGATGAATGGAGTACACTGACACACAGATACTATGCTTTGCCAGTTTGGCTGAGGGTGTTTGGCTGCTTATAGCACCCTGGAGAGTGCTGTAGACAGTTACAACCACCAGCCCCCACCAGCCAGAGACTTGCATTTATTTAGTAAAGTTTAATTGACAAAGGGTTGAGTCAACACCACTAGAGTGAAGAGATTAAAGGACAGGTTCTGACGCCCGAAGCAAACACCTTTAGTGGGTAATATCCCTGGTCGACCTCCCTCCAAGAGGGCCATCTGGCTCAAAGTTTAGCTTTAAGAGCACACGAGTAAACAAGCTAGCTAGGTAAACTGCTCACATTCCTTTGTATTTGTGCCCTAATCTTTCTGGCTCCTGCAAAGAGACTTTGGCTGCCTTCAGCCAAGAACTATAGAAAACACCCTTAGTCCTTCCAAAAGGGATTGAGACTATATTCTATAACTTTCTCTAATATTTTCCCCTTAATATTTTTGCCACCACCCTGCATGAATTCCCACACGTATTAGGTGATTTGGGGCAGGCTTTAAGAGAGTGGGGGGATGCTTTGGGTTGGGTGCTATCAGAGGTGGGGACATTTCTGTGATTGTGTATCTTAATAAACCTCACCAGAATGAGACTGAAGCTGCAATGGGTCAAGAAGCATCAGTCATCCATAGTTGCCAGAAGAGAGGAATATCTGCTCATCCTTGGTCTGGATAATGTTCACGCTTGTCTGTGTTCCATCATATTGATGACAAGGTCTTCGTTTCATACATCCTGGTCACAGAATGGCTTTTTCTGGTGTTGATATTCTGTGAGATTGGAGAACACCAGGTTCTAGCTGGTTGTGCCAGGCCAACTCCCGGAGGTCAGGGCCGGCTTTTCTATAACTTAACATTAAACGTTAAGGTCTAATCCACAAAGAACACCATAAACAAAGTGGGAAGATGCACTGCCAGCTGAAAGAAGATATTTTCAAGAAATATACTTGGTAAAGGAAGATCATTGAGAATACATAATAAAGATGATTAATAATACATAAAGTATAATACTAAATGTATTACACTACATTGTATAATTAATGTATTATTTCACACTGTATTATATATTATAAAATATATAATTATGTATTATACATTTACAGTGTATTATACAATGTAATGTAATGTATAATAATACATAATAAAGAATTATTGACTGGGCACAGTGGCTCATGCCTCTAATGCCAGTATTCTGGGAGGCTGAGGCAGAAGGATCACTTGAGTCCAGGAATTCGAGACCATCCTGGACAACATAGCAAGACTATGTCTCTAAAATAAGAAAATGAACCAGGTGTGGTTACTATTGAATAAGTGTGCACCTGTGGTCCCAGCTACTTGAGAGGCTGAGGCAGGATGATAACTTGAGCTCAGGAGGTTGAGGCTGCAGTGAGCCATGTACCACTGAACTCCAGTCTCAGAAAAAAAATCTGACAATCCCAAGTGTTGGAAAAGATATGGAACAAGAACTTCCATCTAAGGCTAAGAGTTTTAATCAGTCGGTATGTTTGGAGGCAACTCCTAGGCCACATGCAAGAATCCCTGAGCCAGCTGAAGAAGCACATGCCTACCTCCCACTCACTTCCTTCCCAGATACGCTCGGCAAAGGTCAGCAGCGCATGAAGAGACGTGCACACAGTGCTCCTCCTAGCATTGTTGGCAATTGCCAAAAAGAACTCCATAAATGTCCACCAGCAGCAGAGCCTGATGGTAAGGTGTGATTACATATGCGACACAAGGAAATATGAACTGGGGCGGGCGATCACAGAAGCATCATGTGGAGAAACCAAGAAAGTTGCAGAAAGAGAAACAGATTATGACACTCATCGTCTAAAGTTTAAAAAGAGGCAAAAAAAAAAAAAAAACCCTATGGAATGCTCCATGATGCTGCGTACACACCATGAGGGTAAAGATGCTCATGGCACAGTGAACGCAGAAATGAGCGCAGGGCTCACAGAGGCACTGACCATAATAGATTGGTTTGTATTTTTAACAAATTAGACACAAGTAAGGCAGATGTTACGATCTGACCAAGCTGGGTGCTGTATGCTGTATGTTGTATGCTGTATGTTATCCTTTGTATTTTATCTGTGTCCGAATTAGTGAATAAGGCATAAAGAAAAAAATAATAAGCTCTCCATATGCTGAAATTTAGAGTGGCATGGGGAACGATCCAAGATGGCCGATCGCTAACATCTCGGGACTGCAGCTCTCAGTGAAAGCGCAGAGAACTAGAGGACGCCACACTTTCAGACAAATTCTGGTCGCTCATGGAGCAGAAGATCCCCCAGTGGAGGAGTCACATGGGTCGCCAGCGCTTGTGCAGCGGTTTCGCCGGCACCTCGGCGCGGCAGCTCTCGGAGCAGAGTAAACAGGGCTGGCTCCCCTTCTGACCGAGGTTTGGAGGACCCACACGGGTCCCCAGCATGACTCCTGAGGCCGGCGCAGCGGCTGTGATGGCAGCTCTCGGCGCAGAGTAAACGGGACTGGTTCCCCTTCTGACCGAGGTTTGGAGCCCCAGAAAGGCAGAGTCGCCTATTACGGACACAAGAAGGAAGCCCGACGGGAGAATCCTGGGCAGAAAAGCACCATCAGTCTCAACGCCGCCGTTCTGGCCCTGGGAACTAACAACTTGGACGTCCAATCAAGAGACCTAATCTGAAAGTTGGTAATTTCAAAGACGACAGGAGGATAAATTTACAATGATGGGAAGAAACCAGCGTAAAAAGGCTGAGAATACTCAAAATCAGAACGCCTCTCCCTCTAAAGATGATCACAGTTCCACATCAACAATGGAACAAGGCTTGACGGAGAACGAGCGCATCCCAATGACAGAATCACTCTTCAAGGGATGGATAATAAGAAACTTTGGTGAGTTAAAAGAACATGTTGTAGCCCAACGTAAAGAAACTAAGCACTTTGAAAAAAGGTTTGATGAAATCCTATTGAGAATAGACAACTTAGGAATATAAGTGAATTAATGGAACTGAAGAATACAATACAGGAACTCCGAGAAGTATGCACAGGTTTAAACACTCGAATTGTTCAAGCAGAAGAAAGGATATCAGAGGTCAAAATCCAACTTAATGAAATAAAACAAGAAGACAAGATTAGAGAAAAAAGGAATGAGCAAAGTCTCCAAGAAATGTGGGACTATGTGAAAAGACCAAATTTACGTTTGATAGGTGTACCTGAACGTGACGGAGAGAATGAATCCAAGCTGGAAAATATTCTTCAGGATATTATTCAGGAAAATTTTCCTAAACTAGCAAAGCAAGTCAATATTCAACCCCAGGAAATACAGAGAACACCACAAAGATATTCCTCAAGAAGAGCAACCCCAAGGCACATAATCGTTAGATTCACCAGGGTTGAAATGAAGGAGAAAATACTAAGGGCAGCCAGAGAGAAAGGTCAGGTTACCCACAAAGGCAAGCCTATCAGACTCACAGCAGATCTCTCAGCAGAAACTCTACAAGCCAGAAGAGAGTGGGGCCAATATTCAACATCCTCAAAGAACAGAACCTTCAGCCCAGAATTTCATATCCAGCCAAACTAAGCTTCACAACTGAAGGAAAAATAAAATCTTTTATGAACAAGCAAGTACTCAGAGATTTTATTACCACAAGGCCTGCTTTACAAGAGCTTCTGAAAGAAGCATTACACACAGAAAGAAACAACCAGTATTAGCCTTTCTAAAAATATACCAAAAAGTAAAGAGCACCAACATAAAGAAGAATTTACATCAACGAATGGATAAAACAGCCAGTCAACATCAAATGGCAGTAACCCTAAATTTAAATAGACTAAATCCCCCAATCAAAAGACACAGCCAAAACCAATGGCATTTTACATCCAGACCTGTTTCACATGCAAGGATACACAAAGACTCAAAACAAAGGGATGGAGAAAGATTTACCAACAAAATGGAGAGCAAAAATAAATAAATAAATAAATAAAAAGCAGGAGTTGCAATTCTCGTATCAGATAAAATAGATTTTAAAGCAACAAAGATATAGTGGTAAAAGGATCAATGCAACAACAAGAGCTAACGATCCTAACACCCAGATACATAGAGACTTAGATTCAATGAGACAGAAAATTAATAAGGATATCAAGGACTCGAACTCAGATCCGGAACAAGTAAACTTAATAAATATTTATAGAGCTCTCCACTTCAAATACACAAAATATACATTCTTGTCAATACCACATCACACGTACTCATAGGTTTAAATGAAACATTCATTGGCCATTATTAATACCCATTTTTTTCAGAATAAAGCAATATTTCCGTTCACCCTCCCTCTTTCTCTCCCTCTTTCTTCCTCTCCTTTACTCATTCTTTTCTTTTTCTTTCCTTCTCTTAAAAAAAGAAAAGAAAAGAAAAAATAGAGTGGGTTGGATTGGATCAAG